GAGGAGGGGGGGGGGGCCCCCCCGCCGCTACACGATCATGAACTGGCAGACGTAGGGCAGCTGGTCCCTGCACCTCTTGTCGAACCACTTGCCGATGGCCGCCCCCGACAAAGCTGCGCAGTTTTCCAGCTTGCCGCCGTCGGGCTGGGTGGTGATTTCAGTCTCCCAGTTCTTGTAGCGGATGGGGCCACCCGTCATGTCGACCCACTTGCCTTCCGCTGCCATGTCATTGAGGCCCAGCCAGATCTCTGCCTCGGAGCCGATGCTCTTGCGCATGTAGTCGTAGAGCGCATCGTTCTCCTCCCCGCTCTGCGGGGTGCTGAGCGTGCCGCCCTGCGAGATGCAGTTTTCGCTGGCCTCGTGGTACGTCTTGGTCTCCGAAAATGCAAGAAAGCATTTTAGGTGAATTTTGGTGCCTTTCAGGCAAACTGAGAGGTTACCACATGAACAGAACAGAAAGACAGAAAGGGAACTCCTTTTAAAAACAGCGCCCAGGAACAGGCAGCAAACGCAGTGGCCAAATTACAAACTTCATTTCTTAGGCTGCACAGCAACCATGCTGTCCTCAGCAGCACGGGAGTCCCAGGGGCCCTCTCCCTCCCACGTAGGGCGCTGCCATGTGCCCTCCCCACCTGCAAACCATTGGGAAAAACGGACCTCGGGGTGCTCCTGGCACCCTGCTGGGCTCTGCTGCTGCTGGAGCGGAGGCACAGCATGGTCCTCCTGCCCCTTCCCCTGGCCTTGCTCTTCCCCGGCTGCTGCTATGCTTTCTCTGAGGAGTTTTTTAGAGGCAAGGTTCATTGTGGGCGCTGCTGGGGTGTTGGAGTGTTTTGGAAAAAAGTCTGCAATTTCAACTCAATCATCTTCATTATGCAAGCATGAGAAAAAATGTCTTTTTTAATAGGCTTTGATCAGACGTGTTGTCCTTGCATAGCTTGAGGTCTTCAGAGGAAATTTCTCCTTGACTCTGATTTTATTGTTAAGAATAGCCATTTGGGGTTTTTTAAGCTCTAAACCCTGAGAGTGTGGGGTACTCTAGCCAAACATTAACTAATCAGAGCCATGCATTAATATCCAAACTAATGAATGTGAGCCTAGATCTAAAGCCTTGATTTTGTTTGTGTTCCTTTTCTTTTAAGGAGAAAATTCTCTTTAACTTGTGTTTTCATCTCATTCCTGTTTCATGTTCTGCAAATCCCTCTCCTATCGATGTCGGTGGAGTTCACACAGAATAACTGTGAAGCATGGCACATCTGTATGTGTTCAGTGAAGCATGGTGGGACTGGCCTCCAGGAGGTTACCTGGGCAATACCGTGGTAGGTGTAAGAGACCAGGTCACCATTTCACTGTGTTTCAGACAAAAGGGGAATCTACACTTGACTAAGTACAGACTAATCCATTACCCATCCTTCTAACTCATAAAGAAGAACGAACATCTGGCTTAGTGTCGTAGAAATATGCATAGCTTTACTAATGGGAAGCTCTAGCACATAAAGAGCGTGGCCAACATGCTGCGCAACTCATGTCATTAACTGCCTGAGGAGTTTCATCTGCCTGGAGGAATTGCAGCGAGACCATATTTTGCTTTGATCCCTCAACCTCTCTCCCCGTGATGGACTCCCTGTCGTGGGGCACTTGGGTATCTCTTGTCAAAATGCGTGGAGCAACTGTAGCCGCTTTATAAGCAGCTCCTCTCTCAAAGCAAAAGCCATGCCTTCTCCAGCGAGTCCTTTACCTGTCTGGAGTGCTTGCTTCTCCTTCAGTAGAGCAACCTCCTGAGAGATGTTGTCAATCATGGCCTTCAGGTCTTCAATCATTTTGAGGCTTACACCATCTGTTGGAGAAACCAAGGGAGAAGCATAAACATCAGCTGCGTCCTCCAGGGAGGCAGCCAAAGCTCTTCCTTATCATCAAAACTCCCCATTTCTCTGCCCTCAAAGACAAACAGAAGGGATCTGCAAAGTCAACACCTGTCCCTTTGCACATCCATCACAGTGAGCATTTGCTCGCTAGCCTGGTTCCACCATCGACCCAGTTTTCCCAGTTTGGGTTTTGGGGCTTTGCACCCCATGGGGCTTTGTGGGGCAGGTGTCTCCCCTTGGGCTGCTGCTGCAGTGCTGGGCTGGGAGTCAAGCACATGAGCGTCGCAAGGTGCAGGCTTGTCTCTGGAGCCCCTGCGTAGGGCACTTGCCTGGGGTGGAGCTGCACTGGGGTCAAGTTCCCAAAGGGCAGGAGGGCATCATCTGATACTGCCCCACCTGAGCAGGAGTCCTGAAACACACGAGTGTTTTGTGGGGAACTTCAAGCTGCTGATGGATACGATTTATTTTTTTCAATTCCTCAAAAACACGCCCGGCCTGTCTCTATTCACAGCACACCCTCCTGGCTTCCCTTAAACACCCTAACACATGATTTTCTCTGTACGCCCTCCTTGCTGTGCCCCCGCGTCAGTCGGCTCTCACAGGTGCATTGGCAGGAAAGCGCTTTGCTCATCGGGCCAGGGCTCCGCATTTTTTTTTCGGGCTGCAGTACCTCCACTGCATCTGCCCCTTCACACCAGCCACCCCATCCCTCAGCCCACCAGCCATGCCATCCCTCAGGCCATCACAGCTGCCTGTGTCCCACCTCTGTCTTCAGCATCCCTGGCGTAGGCACCCAAAAACTCGCCAGAGCTACTCTCCTGCTGCGAGAAGACGCCTCCTTGACTGGGGAGCTGGTTGCAGCCTGCTACTAAAGCCTTGCTTGGTGTCTTGCTCCTGCAACGGCTCCAGCCAGCTATTAATAGGTACTTGGATTTTTCCGGTCTAGGAGCACAAGGACTGTCATGCCTTGGAGGTGCTGGGAGATCGGACATCGAGGCATTTGTGTTCATTACGTTATCTCTGCTGCTCCTATTGCTTTACCTTGCCTGGTGTAAGCATCTGGTAGTCCTCATGGAGTGAAAGGAAAGGGTCAAGGAGGCGGGGAGCTGAGGCAGCAAGCCAGGCAAGTGGGGAAGCAGCTTGGATGCTGACCAGAAACACCAGCCCAAAGATTACATGGTACCATGAATATGAAAAGCCAGACACATCAGGAGGAGGGCATTAAGCTGCTTTACTCATTGCTCAATTAACTTTAATGGGTTCACTTAAGACTGAGGGATAGTTATTATTTTGCTGCCTTTGATGAAAACACTTTGTGGGAAACAGCTAATTAATGTCTTTTTTTTTTTTTTTTCCATGCAAGCCTGTCTTACAGCAGAACAAATATCACTTATGTTTAAGTAACACCCAAGAGCCACAGCAGGACACTGCCAACGAGTCTTGCTGGGGCAGCTCCTTACATTGCTCCAGCCGGGTTTGCTGGTGGTTTCCCATCTAGAAGGTCCCTGCCACTCAAAGTGACACGTCTCCTTGATACCTACCTAAGTGCCCTGTCCCTTTCACCACCTCGTTTCCAAATCCTGGGCTGCAAGATGTTCCTACAGCAGCAGGTTCACCGGGACATCCAGGGGAGAACTGGGAGTGATTAATTTGCACTTCAGCTGCAAAGTGAGTACGGTGGCTATGTCAACAGACATCGAGTTTTCTATTTCATTGCCAGAGGCTTGTGTCTCTGCGCTGTCATTTCCTCAAGGCTTGTCTCCTGAAGCCCATGACCAAGGCTATCATAGCCCGGGCTTTGCTGCGACTGCAGCCAGCGTGGGAGGTGCCAGTGCTGCCCGTGGACGCTGGAGCGGGTCCTCGTGCGGCTAACCGTGAGCAGCAGGATTAAGTGTGGGCAGAGGCGAGATGATAAGGAGACTCGCAGAAGGACGTGGGTCGCAAGAGTCTGCTGGTTTGAAAGCCTGGCCAGTACCATAGGTGATGCTGCAAATGGGAGGTCTCGCCCGGTTTTCCGTGTTCTAATTATATGCTGAATAACAAACAAATCCCTCTATACTTGATTTTGATTATTCAACTATCCCTGTATGAAATTTGGACCTATATGTGGGTTGCTTAGCTTTGCCTGGGCAGGCATCACCTGGTTTATTCCCATCTGAACAGGTTTCTGTCCCCCAGCGGGGCGAGCATCGCTCTGGTTTGCAATGTCCATCATCAAACCACCCCAGCCATTGGGATTTCTGCTGACACCAAGCATTTCCACAAACGTTCCAGCCTAAAAAGTCAGGTCCCACATTGCAGTCTGTCCCTGGATCAGAGGAGGGGGCTGAACACACCCACACTGGGTTCATATCAGTGTAAGTGTTCACGGGCATTTTCAGGTTAGAGCACCCAGACAACAAGATTATACCGAAATTTTGGGCAGCATCAAGAGCAGAGCCCAAATCAGTCCCTATACACTGATTTAAGCATCCGGACTCTGATTTCTGTCTCCAATTACCTTAAAAATACATGTAAGAGCTACACAAAGATGGTCCCTCCCATGCCCCCAGCACCCCACTGTGACCAAGGGGAGCCCCCCCCAGGGCTGGCAGGTCCCCAGCCTGCACCCCCAAGCTGGGGGTGCCACTGCCCGTCTCCCCTGGGCACCCTTCTGGGCGAGACCCCCGGGGTTGCCGGAGGAGGCCAAATGGCGCTTGGCCCCCAAGACGTTGGGGTTCAGGGAGAGTTTGCTGAACTGCTGCATCTGGAAAAATCACTGGGGAGCACTTGGAGGGGGAAAAACCCAACAGCAGGCAAAGTGAATGTGCTGTCTCAGCATTTTCTAAATGCTATGGTTTGGCTTTTTCATGTTGAAACAGCACCATTTTTGTTCTGAAGAAGATCCAAATGTAAGCAATAATTAAAAAAAAAAAAGGAAGAAAAAACAGAACAAAGGAAAAAACAAAAGAAAAGTAAAAAAAGAGGAAAAGCTTGGCTTAAATAATCTTTTTCTTTTCTAACATTTGTGGTTTGGCTGTGCAGATTAAAAAAAAAAAAACAAAAAACAAAAATCCAGCCAAACACCCCAACCCTCCAGTGGCTTCACCTCAGCCAACCCTCCCCGGAGAAGGGCAGGGGGTGAGCGGGGATGGGGATGCTGAGGGCCGGGGATGAGGATGGGGACGGGATGGGGCAGGCAGGCTTGGACGTGGCGTGGGGCTGGGGGCAAGGAGGAGCCTCCTGGGGAATTTTTAGTGCTTTCCTCCCTCTTTCCCCACCCCCTGGCATTAGTAAAAATCAGAAAAATGTTAACCAAGAAATGCTGGAAGTTTCCAGTAAAGGCAGGGCAGCTGACCACCGTGCGGCTGGATGCAGCTGGCCAAAAAATGCCAAGTTGTTGGGGTTTTTTTTCTGTTTTCCCCACAGAAAAGTTGACCTGCGCTTTGACAAGGAACTTCCAAGCTCTCGGTAAAGATTGCCACCAGCTGTTCCAGATGGCTTGATTTTCACGACATCCCCTTCAAATGTTTTTAAATCAGAGCCCGATTTTCCTGTCAAAAAGGTGATTTTTCTCCCACCTTCTTGTCACTAATTGGTTACAAACAGCAGCTGCAGTGATACGGAGAGAAAAATAAGATTTCTATAAGAAACGTCTCTCGCTCCTGGTACCTCCAGTGAGTGCAATGCATGTATGTGCCCTATATGAGCCCAAGGGGGTATTTTTTTCCTCTGGAAAACAGCCATGGACTAGCAATGAGGAATAAGCAGCTACGCTGTGATTTCATAGAAAGACCTAACGGGAGAAAAAGGAAAAATTTCTCAAGGATGGGATCTGATGAAAATAGCCACCGGGTGAGTGTAGAGAGCAGCCCGGCCAAGCAAATTCCTGGGATACTTCTTTCTCACTCCTGAGGTTTTGTTCCAAGCAGGAAAGCGCCCGCCAGAAGCCGTCCAAGCCCGAGCCGCACACATCAGACAGGCAGGCTCACACGCTGCCGGGCTGCAACGCAAGCCGCTTCCTTACCTGCTTTCTCCTATAGCTAATGTGCATGGAGGTGGAAGGAGAAAGGATGCGACAGTAACAAAAAAGGGGAAGGGGAGAAAAAAAAGCAAAAAACACTGGGAAAAAGAAAACTTGAGCATCCTTTTGAGTGCATTGTCCTCTGGTAAGCCTGAGTAGTCGGAGCTCATGTACAGCTTGACATACAGCTGGGGCAAGTGTTTTAAAATGAAGATCTATGTTGATATTTAATGGATTGTATGTTATCTGCCTACTCTTGTCTCCAGATCTACAACAGTTGTTTGTCATCTGCCACTTACTAGCTTCTGAAAAATGAATGAGGAGGGGTGGGGGGAGAAACGGAGATTTTAGCGAAGGAAAAGTTCGGGGCAAGCCTTAGAGATAACATGGAAAATGCGCTGCCCTCTGAAATTCGGACCAAGCTATCCCACAGAATTTATTCCAGGTAGGAACCCACCAAAACCACTTCAATATCCTCACTATTTTATAGAAGGGCTACACAATCATTCCCCTGGTGAGGGGGGAGGAAGATACTGTATTAGGTTTTTAGATGCTTTTAAAAAAGTTTCATTAAAGTACCGTATAAATGCCCGAACGACCAGACTAATTGCATCCCCCCAAGGTTTCCTTGCAGGGAAGGTGCCGCCGCTCCTTACCTTTCTTGGAAGCCACCGGCTTTTGCCTGGGTTTGGCGTTTTGCTGGC